GCCTTGAACTGAAGAGCTGAGGGACAGCGCCCAGGCCCAGAGTTCAGGCCCCACGACTGGACCCTCCCACCCCCCCAAAAAAAGATTGATTTTTCACTTTTTTGATGGTGTCCTTTGAAGCATACAAGTTTCAATTTTATTTTTTTTGTTGGTTATGGGGCTGGCTAGTGTTCTGCCACTGGAGAACAGCACCACTTCCAGTTTTCTGGTGGTTTATTGGAGATAAGAGTCTCAAGGACTTTCCTGCTCTGGCTGGCTATTAACTGTGATCCTCAGATCTCAGCCTCCCGAAAAGCTAGGATTATAGGCGTGAGCCACCCACTTGGCTCACTTTTTTTTTTTTTTTGGTGCGGTTGTGGGGCCTGGGCGCTGTCCTTCAGCTCTTCAGCTCAAGGCTAGCGCTTTACCACTTGAGCCACAGCGTCACTTCCGGCTTTTTTCTTTTTTCTTATGTGGTGCTGAGGAATCGAACCCAGGGTCTCATGCATGCAAGGCAAGCACTCTACCACTGAGCCACCTTCCCAGCCCTCGGCTCACATTTTTATATAATCTAGATTATACTTTTTCTTTTGTTCCAAGTTTAGTGTTATGTCTAAACAGTCTTTGCTTAACCTAAGTCTTACGGATTTGGCATTATCTGTTTTTCTCAGCGTTTTAAAGTTTGAAGAACTTACATGGGGTCCATGAATCACTTTGAGTCGACTTTTTTTTTTTTTTTTTTGAGATAGAATCTTCTCAGCTGGCTTTCCAATTACTGTGTTTAATAATGCTGAGATTACAGACATGTGCCATCATGCCCAATTCCTTTTGTGATCATTATATGCATAGTATGAAGAAGGGGGCAGATTGAGTTTTATATGCCTAAAGAACCATTTGTCCCACCACTGTTGTTGAAAGGATGTTAAGAATTGGCACATTTGCTCCTCATTTTCTGCCTTAAGAGAATATTTCCTCCTTTGGTTGTACCTACCCATCACATCATTTTTTGTCCCCAACAGCACCTTCTTGCACCTATAATGATGTATCCTTTTTATCATTAGACAGATTACATTAATGCCAGTTTCATGGATGGCTATAAGCAGAAGAATGCTTACATTGGTACACAAGGTAAGATGCTCTGGGATTGGAGGCATGGTTCAGTTGGTAGAGCATTAGCCAAAGAGTGAAAGCGTCAGGTACCGAGTTCAGTTCCCAGTCTTGGACCTAAAAAAAAAATGGAAAGAAAAGATGCTGTGGTTCTTACATGTAGATTTTATGCTCTTTACCTGTGGTTCTTTGTATGACATGATGGAATATTTTGTTGTTATTTTTGCTATTTTTTCCCATTGCTAATGATTAGATCCAGAGTTTTGTACATTCTGGGCAAATATTCTACTGCCTCTACTGAGCTACATTCCCTGCTCAGTGGTGTAACTTTTTTTTTTAATTTAAATATAATTTTATGGGCTGGGAAGGTGGCTCAGTGGTAGAGTGCTTGCCTTGCATGCATGAGGCCCTGGGTTTGATTCCTCAGCACCACATAAGCAGAAAAAGCCAAAAGTGGCACTGTGGCTCCAGTGGTAGAGTGCTTGCCTTGGGCTGAAGAGCTGAGGGACAGTGCCCAGGCCTATAGTTCAGGCCCCATGACCGGCCAAAAAAAAAAAGTAAAAGAAAAAAATATATATATAATTTTATTATTATTAAGGTGTGGTACAGTGGAGGTTACCATTTCCTAAGTCAGTTATGTAGTGAGTATATTCCTTCCTTCTTTCCTCCCTTCCTTCCTTCCCTCCCTCCCTCCTTCTCTCTCTCTTTCTCTCCTTCCTTCCTTCCTCCCTCCCTCCCTCCTTCTCTCTCTTTCTCTCCTTCATTCCTTCCTTCCTCCCTCCCTCCCTCCTTTTCCTTCCTTCCTTCCTTCCCTTTGCTTTCTTTCCCTCCCTCCCTCTGTCCTTTTCCTTCCTTCCTTCCTTCCTTCCTTCCTTCCTTCCTTCCTTCCCTTTCCTTTCTTTCCCTCCCTCCCTCCTTTTCCTTCCTTCCTTCCCTTCCCTTTCCTTTCCTTTCCTTCCCTTCCCTTTCCTTTCCTTTCCTTTCCTTTCCTTTCCTTTCCTTTCCTTTCCTTTCCTTTCTTTCCTTCCCTCCCTCCCTCCCTCCCTCCTTTTCCTTCCTTCCTTCCTTCCTTCCTTCCTTCCTTCCTTCCTTCCTTCCTTCCTTCCT